CCCCGCACAACGTCCCGTACCCATGGGACGCCGATCAGAGTAATTGGGGCGTGGCCGAGGAATTTGAGTGGGGTTTGAACCACTAGGACGAAGCAGGGGTTCTCACCTCATACCAGAAGGTCTTCTTGGAAACACTGGCCGACAAGGGCAATCACAAAATTCCAAAAATTAGCTAGCAGAAAGGTGGGGAAGGGGGGGGGGGGGAGCAGTGTTTCATAAAAATTTCGTCGGAGACTTGGGAACACATATGCAAACCATCTCTACTCAGGGAATGACTGCAAAAATTCCACTAAAAGAAACGAATCAATCGCCTATCCTACATTAAGCTCACGCCGCCCTTTTCGTGGGGACCAAGGAGACAAGGGACACGTAAGGCATCTGAGTTGGGTCCACAGAGCCTGTCCAATCGGCTCGAATTCTCTTCGTCCGATGGGGGTAGGGGCTAAGGTACCCGGGTCCATAAATTTTGCTGGAAGATCTCCTGCGTTGTGTGAGAGAGTCGGGAACGCGATGGACATTTCATACCCCAGCACCAACCTCCGTCAGGAACACGAGTTTCCTAGCCGGCACCAACGACAATTAAATTGGGGCTTTCACGTGGCGTGTGCTGCAGACCAGGGAAGCATCGACAAATGAGTGTATGGCAAGATCAAAGACGGGGAAGCAAACTGGTCGATCACACCATACCCCGCTCCCCCTCTATGACATGCCTTAGACAGGTAATACAAGTGAACCCAACCCGTCCACAATAACGTCCTTCGTACATCTTCATCGCAATAAAGACCATCCTCGTCTGCGATCAGAAAAGGGGGAATGTCACTATGGCGGATCGATGTAATGTTCGAGCACAGGCAGTTACCCGTGCTCATGTTTGGATTGGCAAACCTCGATTCCATATAAATCTCAAATTGTCCTACAACACCTAATCGCACTACCAAAATGCAAGTTGATAATCGTGATGACTCCAAACAAAATTGTCACCTTGTCAAAACGGCGATGGCCAGGAGGCAAAGAGATCGGGTGGAACGACAATGACCTCACACCTAATGTCCCTGGTCGTCCGCACATGTACATTTCTCCCGTATGTTTTTCTGGCTTGTTTGAAGGCCAGTTTGCAAAAGAAACGGATTGCAGCTGGCAAGCCGTCTTGGCTCTCATCCGTCGGGATGGTTTCGTAGCATCTAGTAATATCGGCAGAGAATACCGAGAAGACTTGTTTGGTAGGTTGTAAGTATAGTCCGGGGTCGAGTCTATTGGCCACCAGAAGGGAACTCTGAGCCCAGCTTTAGTATGTGTCTTTTGTGTGAGTAAGCCACATTGGTTTTTAACCATTCGGATTAGTGCAGCAAGGACAGCAGCAGTTAGATCAGCCAGAGGTGTCGTAATAACGTCTGCTGCGTTTGTTAGCCAGCGGAAGGAATTTTTGTGCTTTTTGTAAGTGGCAAAGAGATAAGGTATCTCTATTTTACCAATGGGGATGTCTGGGAATCTAGTTGCCAGTTGGAGTTTCATGCCGTCTGGTAGTTCGGTAGCAGTTGTTGCGTATCGTTCAAAGTCTGGGCTGGAGAGCCTTTGTAGTGCAAGGAATCTTACCATGTTTGCGCAGCAGATGACCGGTGTATTGAGAGCTTTGTCGGCTCCGGATATGTAGAAGTGCTTGGTTAAGAAGTTGATTTCATTTTTGATTGCATGGTCGTTTATGCTTGTTACCATATGCGTTGTTACGTTTTCGAGATTGTATTTGATTATTTTATCAAACTCTGCTTTTGCCAGTTCTTCTTGTAGTCTGTCGAGGGGGGGACCATTATTAAGGAGGGCCAAGAGGAGCTGAGACCATACTTGGTTTGCAGCAGTAGTTGCGTCATCTTTATTTAAAGCAGCCGGTGGAATGTGATTGTGACTTTTTTTCATTATGTTCCGCAGTTCAGGATTGTTGCAGATGTTGAGGTCTAGTGTGGTGACATGCGAGGGTTCTTCTTTAGGTAGCATATCTGCAGGTAAGGTGTTTAGAAACTCCTTATATCTTGGTTGTTGGCAGTAACATTTTTCTGCCATTTGGTTTATCCATAACGAAAGTTCAAAATTCCGAAATACTGCAGCAGGCTTATAGAGGGCCTTGGCAATATGATCGTTGTATGTCCATGCGAATGTGAATTTTTCTAAGATTTGAACAGCATCCTGGTTATAGTTAAGTAAAATTTTACTAAAGATGTTTTTGAATTTGATACGATCCATTAGACGATTTGCATAGTGGCATGAGATGATCTGTTTGTCTGTTTCTTTTTCCGCTCTCCGTCCGAGTCTTCCGTCTTCCATTTGCTGCAGTCGAAGCTCCTGCACATTGACAGACATATTGGTGATTTGAGAGGAGGTTTTATGTTCAGCGACCATGGTGCATTCCACTTGAGCAAGTCATTCTAGGGTGAAAAGAGGCTAATTTTGCTGGTCTTTCTTTATTATTTTTAACAGATGTGAAAGGTGGGGGTACGACTGAGTCTACCCTATCACAGGGTGTAAGACAGGTTGAGTATAGTCATTCATGTGAGTCTTAGGCAGGGACTTCGGTACCTACATCGGGAGGATTAACAGGGCTGCAGTTTACTGAGGAAACTTTTCCATATTTAATATGGCTATAGATTTCGGATTATGCAGTAGATATGTATTATATCTTATTTAGTCCTTTTTTTGGGGGACAGGAAATACATGGAAATATTTTTTGCAGGTAAAAAGACAGTGTTGGTTGTTATACGGTACGGAGTATAGTTCATGGGTGTATGAGGTTATCTTTTCATGTTCGTACCACCCATGCAAATCATCTTTTAGCAAGGATTATATGTTTCACTGTTTTATTTTGCTTACCGTGTGTACAGGGCGATTATATCTTTATAGATTGTCAGTGCTATTAAGATAGCGGCCTTCTGAGGTGTTGCGGTGAGTGTTTGTAATTGCGTGATTAGGGCATGTCTGGTTAGCTAAACAGTTGCTTGTGTAGTGAAAGAAAGGAAAGGTCGTTATGCAGGAAGTAACAAAAAATCAACATGCTATTTCAAATCCAGTCCAGAGAAGAGACCGGGGGTTTCTGACAAATCTCTCATGGAGTTATTTCAGCAAACTTAGTCGGTTTGATTTATTGGACAAAATAATAGTAATGCTCAGCATACATCTGTCTGAAGAACACTGCCCTAGACATGCATTATACGTGTATTGGCCAGGAGCATAAAAAACAATTGGAATATTAGTCAATGTGTATTACCATATATGGAACCAGCCTAAACCAACATTATCTGTTTTAAGCCAATTATTCGATCGGTAGGCTAGAATTTAATTATTCATAGATAAAAAACCTGTGGTCTACCGGAACAGACTCTGTCATGGGTTTTGCTACCGAATCCATTCAAGCTAACTTCTAGTAATGCTAGGAAAATTGCCCGGGGAATCCGGGCTAAGCCTGCGGCAAACACGTTTCCAGGAATTGTCCGAAGCTTGCGACCCGTCCATCTGTGGCGAGCTTCCGCTGCTTGTTCGGAGCAGGGAGGAATCCGCACTGCTAGCTCCGTAATTTGTTTGCAGAGCGTCAATCGCAGAGATTGGTCTAATCGGGGTGTCCGGGGATGGCGAGCTGATTGTGATGGGGAGTTGCCTTCTCTCTCCGTCATCGATGTCACAGCTGCTGACCTGGATTACTTCATGATCTGCTCCATTTCGCTGTTCCGAGGAAGTCAATGCCGCAACTTTATCCCTCAGCGTCCATTGTGCCAGGACCATGTCTGCGCGCGGTGACCATTCTTGGTCACCATTCTTGGTCAGTTCTTTTGAGAGCCGGAGAACTTGTCTGTGCCTGATGCGTGACTATTCCTGATCCAACTTGAGCATGTGGCTGGAGGTGAACTGCAAACATCAGTTGTCGTTGCTGCTGCGTCATGAAGGCCTCATGGATGTCTGGCTGTCTTGCGTCATACTGCACCTTCTTTCTCCTAGTCTGCTTTTTGCTTGCGTCTGCTCCTTGTGCCATTGGGATTCTCTGCGTTTATTACCTCTTCTGCGATTTCTTTTAACTTTTGCAGGGAGGGGATTCATTGCAATACTCAGAAGTAGTTCTCGTCTGCGCGCCTGTCTTTCGCTGTCCGTGCATGCCGTGTTGCTATGGCTGTTCATATAAGCGGTCAGGTGCGATGGGAGTGAAGTGGTGAACCCTGGTTGAGTGCTTACTCCAATGTGTGCAGTGTGTGCTGCATTTGAATCGTTCATGTGCAGTGTATGGCTGGTACCCTGTGTGTTGGTTTGCCTTGTTGCTGGTAGTGCGGTGGCGGTTGCGTTTGGGATTGCAGTGTTGCCAGCAGGGGTTGCGCTTACTTGTCGTGTGGCAAGCTGTGCAGCAGCGTTTGCAAGGGCATTAGCAGATGCCTGTACTTGAGCGAAGCTTACTGTCGTAGGCATATTTGGAGCAGCAGTGATGGCAGCAGGGACGTGTCTTTGTGGTGCAGTTACGGAGTTGCAGTTAGTATTGGAAATTATGCGGTTTCTGGTGTCATACGCCCTGACTGGGGTTGAACTTGCACCCGGGTTAGCGCCAGGGATTGCAGTGTTACAATCCGGTATGTTAGCAGCTATGTTGTGCAGAGGTGCCGGGCTGCATGAGTGCAGTGGAGTAGCGTGTGCAGCGGTTGCAGGCATGTGAGTTGCAGATGGCGTTCTTGTGTGGTTGGCCAGGCAGGGTGTGTTGCAGGTTGCAGGTGTATTGCCGGGTGTACTGCTGGAAGGACCTGTGCGTGCGCTATCGGTGTGCAGCGGGGTAGCGTGCGCAGTAGTTGAAGGCGTGTTAGTTGCAGACGACATTCTTGTGTGGTTTGCTAGGTATGGTGTGCTGCAGGTTGCAGGTGTGCTGCCTGGTGTGTTACTTGATGGAGCAATTGGTGTGGTGCCGGTGTGTGTCCGTAGTACTGGCGTGCAGGCAGACGTCTGGAAAGGTGTGGTGAGTGACGCATTTGTGGCGAGTGTACTGCCAAGCCTCATTTGTCTGCATCTTCTCAGTGAATTATCTTCGACTTCCACATTTCGCCGTGCGTTTGCTGTCTGTGCTAGTAATCCTTCGGCGTCGGGCAACAATGCAGCGGTGAACTTGTGCACGAACGGTACGCATCTGAAGTCCTCGTATTCCAGTATTTCTTCTGCAGATATCCTTCTATTCTGTGTGAGGAGGTTCACGATCTTGATCATGTATTCTCTCATGAATATGACGGAGATCTGCGCAAGAATCGCCTTTCTCCATGTCGTGCGCAGGAGTGCTTGGAACTCAAGCATCCTGATCTTGTCTGTTGGAGCAAAGGGGTCGATCCTGTCTAGGTTGCCAATGATATACCATATCATATGGTCGAACCATGTGAAGCTCTTCTCGCATCCGGGGCAAGTGCACTTCAAATATGGTCTGCCTGCGTTCCAAGGCTTCTTGAGTTCGGAGAGGTCTGCAGGGAACTTCGGGATGCCCTTTTGATGAAGGAGAGGTCTGTTTTCACATCTGCCCTTCTCGAGCCCCGCAATTGGTGGAAATTCTGCATCCAGACCTCCTCTGTTGGCTAGGAAGTAGATAGTACCATTCCTAGCAGCACTGCGACAGTTTTCTATCTCTGCATCAGTGATCACTGCGAGCGCCATGCCTCCACACTGATAGGCGCTGTGTAGTTGAAGGTGTCAAGCTTCCATAGTTGGTTATGGACACGCTGTACAGCCTTCTCTGTCCAGGAGCCAGATGCGAGTGGTAAGAAGGGGTTGTTCTTAGCGAACTTGTGTCCGACGTCTCTCGTGAGCGGCGTAAGTTCAGTGTGTGCATAGCTCATTCGCTCGGCCTCCTTCTTCCTGAAGTATTCCAGCTCTACTTGCGAGAGTGACATACGATTGATGTAAGTTTCGCTGAAGGTTTCTGCCCTTTCTGAGATGGAGACCTGTCCTGCGGAATCGAGATGTGAAGAGTCATATCCGTGAAGATCGAGGATGATCTTCTCGGCCTTAGCTACAATGAGGCTAAGCTCTCTATTCTCGATTGCAGCCTTTCTTCAAGAATCAGCAATATCGCTAGAAAAGTCTTGAATTTTGGCGTCTAGCTCCTGCGGTTTGCTTTGCATGACGTGGACAAGCGAAGCCCAATCGCTGAAGGAGAGGTTCTCGATCAGGAATGGAGGTTGTCCCAGCGTTGCTTCATAAACTTGCAGTAGAACGTCTGCAGGGATCCCAAGCATGGCGATCTGGCAATGCACTATAGGCGGCCGTAGTGCAGAGAATGGCCTGATGGCTGCAGCAAGCTTCGGGTGCCATCCCATGAGGATGTTGTCTTCATCCTGCACATGTATGGTTATGTACTAACAGTTAGTTGCATGTAGCTGCATTCATCGGCTTGCACATGCAGCAAGGGAGTCATACATGCAACTTTGATTGCTAAATTGGTTTAGGGTCTGAGCAAGGTAATGGGGTTGGGTACCTAGCATTAGGGACTGCTACAGATGCGGCAAGTGGAGCGAGCGTGTTTATTTGCGCAGAGTATACTTAGGTCAGGCAGGATTGGACACATTAATATTAGCCTGTGCTAAGTGGCCGGTCTGGTATCGGACGTTAATAAGGGTAGGCTGCATGTTGCGGAGGAGGCAGACCTACTGACTTAGTGGAGTGTTGGAAGCGTGGAGGCAATTAGGGCAGGGCTGTATGTGTTGTGTGCCATGGCATAGTCTGTTTTCTAAAAAAATGAGAGTTATATTCGTTCATGGGGTGCTTTCTAGAAGTCAGGGGGTTAAGCAAGGTCACCATGTATTATTAACTGTATTTTATCGTATACATGCTATTTTACTGAAGAATAATAACTTTATTTCTAATGTGTTATCTTAAATTTCTTAAAAAATAATAATAAGAATAATACTAATAATAATAACTTATTATTTGTATTTAAAATTTCCTTTTTTTAAAAAAAATAATTAATAACTTATTTATTTTATATTTTAATAAAAATTTATTCCTTTGTTATTAATTTAAGTATTATCCTTTTATTTGTTATTTATAATAATTTTATTAATTTTAATTTTAATTTTTGCTTTTAAATTTTATTTTAATTATATTTTTAATTTTATTTAAACCTATCTTTATTATTTGATTACAAAACAATCATAAAACGTTTTCTAATTAATAAGGCATATATCTATGTACTACTAGCTGTATGGATAATAATCGGAAGGATGTTTATGCATATATTGCAAGGGTAGAGCTGTTTCGGTATGGGTATCCAGTGTCGTAGGTTAGCCATCTCTAGTTACGCGTATAGGTCTTATCTCCTCATTGTTTTTATTGTGTGTTTATGGGGGTTAGCCAGGGTTCCATTTTTTGTTTTTACTTTATTAATTATTATAGGGTTATTTGTGGGGGTTCAAGTGTGGAGATGGAGGGTAAGTGCAGTGGGAGTGTAGATATAAAAAGGCTGATCTGTGTTGCAAAGTTAGTGTTTCTGTTCAGTGTTTTATGTGCACATATGTGTGCAGTAGGGTACAGTACTTGTACGACACTGTTAGCGACTTAGTGTTCTTGCCGTGTGTAACAAGGATCTTGGCGAAGCTCGGGTGAGCGTTGTTGATCAGCTACGTGCAGCCAGTCATTCGTACTTTTGATGTAGTGAACAGGGGGGAAGAAGGAAAGGATCTGGTTGCTATCGATTGCGTGGAAACACATATCATTAAGAGGGTTTTTTCACCGCGATCTGTGCGTGATCGGCAAAACGGAATCGGAAGTACGCATCGTACGACCAGGGCAAGAACTTGGAATTTTTCATTGTCAGTGTCGTGTTCCTCGATCAAGCTATGGATGTCTTTACTACGTGCGTGGGGGAGGTTTACGGAAAGACGGTTGAGATTCAGGAACTGCGTCATCGTCGGGGTGATGGTGGCGATAGGGATTTTAGGTATAGTCTGCGGGTGGCAAGTACCTCCGTGCGACATTACCGTGTCACCGCAGATGGACGCTTGGTCTTGAGATTGTGTGTGGGTCTGGGCTATTGGGATGGGTTGCTTTGCGAGGTGACGGTTTTCGTAACGAAGACATCACCAAATATTCCGAATGAACTACCTGATGGTGGTGTGGATGTGGTGGCGGGGATGGTGGAGCTGTTAACGAGTGATTTGCTACAGGAGCATGCAGATAATCAAATTGACTTTGTCGAGTGGGAGGCGATATCAGAGCCACCATTGGCCGCCCGTAGGTCTATGGCCGGGGTTTTGCGCATAGCGGATACCTATGAGTGGTAGGGGGCTACATGTTCGACGAGCTGTGTACGTATTTGTGCCATGCCACATGGTGAAGGAAGACCTGTTTAGGGGAGACAGTCTGTTAACCTAAGGGACAGACGGTCATCATAGTCTGAGTTCCATGATGTATTTTCGGGGCGTGGAGTTCAGAGAGCTTATCGGGCTATTGTTCGGAAATAGTGCGTGAATTGCATGCAACGGGGTATGTTTAGTTAGTAGAGGCATTGGTGGGTGATAGGTTTTTGTGCTATACGTCAGGGCCGACTATGGTGTGTGAAATTTACGTCATGGGATAGTTTGTAATGAGGAGAAGACATTGTGTTGCCGGCACAAAAAGATATTACGTTGTTTAACGAAGAAAGGGTAGAGCCCCGATTTAGGTTGCTGGCTAACTACCATCTTGGTGGAGAAATTGATCTGAGTCTTTTACTTCGTTGATAAGTGGCGGCCCAACTGGTTTAAGCAATATTTTGCAAAAGCATTATACGGACTCCTATGTACGTTACCCTTGTCATGTTATAATGAGGCGATGTTGTACTTGGATTGTTTAGCTATCGTAGTACTATAATTAAGAAAGCCACATGGTTTGTATCGTTGGTGGCGAGCGTATGTAATTACCTATTCCTGTGTGTACGATGTTGTATTCTATAGGTATAGGTTTTATAGTTCTTTGTGTTAATTCCATGTGTACCTTTCTCATACCTCTGATGAGTGGCAAGTGCATTATTTAGCTATTTTTTAATATTTTTATTTTTTATTTTTTATTTTTTAATTTTGACTTTTATAACAAGCCCTTTGCCAAGAGAGAAATCATACCCTATTGCCAGATGCCTGAAGAACTATTATCGAATAAGAGATTAAGTATGGTGCGTAACTTAAATCCGTATATTAGGAGACAAAGAGGGTGGTTTGTTCATTTGGTTGTTTATCCATGCAAGTTGGTATAATGATAATTATCGTTTTTCTATGTTGGCAACTATGTATACGCTTTGCTGAACGTATTATCGGAGGAAATCGTGATTTTATATGCAGGTATTGAAGGGACTTTGTATCGGCGAAAAAGGAAGTATTCTCATATTATGTAATTATCAGGGATAATAGACGAGGATATCGTTAAATATCCGTGTTTGAAGCAGTGGCCTAACATGTGCTTATGCGGGTGTATTAATGTGAGGTACCGGCTGAGTGCAATCATAATGTGATATTTACGCCATTAAGTGGTGTATGGGCAATTTTTCAATTGATTATCGTACCTTTGGAAGGAGGACAGATAATGAGTTAATTACCTAGTGCAAGAAGAGTTTTGCTCCTGTGTACAGAATGTTAGGAAGAAGTGCAAGAAATGTAATTGCAAGATTACGAAAAATTTAACAAAAGATATATACGTGTGCAATAGTGTCGGAAAACATTTAGGTTATGTATAAGTTGGATCAATCCTGACCAATCCAGATATTGCTATCAGTCGTTTGCCAGAAAGGCACCAAGTCTTGCTATTAAGTGTTTATCGTGGCGAGGCTTCGAGTTTCATGGCATCCAAGTTCATTTGTTTGCAATAGCAGGATGGTACTCGATTAATTAATTCGGATGAAGCGAAGCGCTCGTGCACATAAAATGTTTCATGACGCACTTATGTATTAAACGTTTCCTGATGCATAGTTCATTTTTATGTATATATAATGTATGTGATTATCTTTGGCTCATCAAGGTTCGGAATTGTTTCGTAGAGAGAGGATACTATCTCAACATGGCGTTCGAGATGCCATGTTCACGAATTGATTGACGAGGGATGTTATCTGGCTTTTTTAATTTTTTTTTAAACCGTATGAGTCAGATTAATGAAGATTGCAGGAATAACGAGTGTTAGACGGGTGTAGCGGGAACATTATTACTACGCATGCCACAAAAAGCTTCATACATGTGTTGGCCGCGCAGCCAATTGGTGGCATTGATTGACTTCAATTTAGGACTCGCTACATAATTGAAGAAGGGTTGAAATGCCAATTTCACAGGGTGATTCAAGCATAGATTTCGAAAAATGAGGTGTATATTGCAAAAACGTTTTCGAAGCATTACGTAACTTCATCCATGAACATGTTAACTAATTTAAAACCAAATCGAGGTGACCAGTGGGGGGAGGTTGGTGACAGATAGTATCAGACCACACATGAGGCCTCAGATCTGTATCTGTGGGTGTCCTGGTCCAAGGGTTCGGGTGTGTCATGGGGTTACACGGTCTAAATTCTGACAGGACAAGAATTCAATCTATGATTCATTCTAGCAGGCGAAAAGATACGAAGGCATGGAAAAACAGAAGAGTTTGAAGTACGAAACATTTTTCGATAAACAGAATCATTACAAACCAATCTTTCATAATTGCGGGGAGAATCGACGAGAAAAACTTTTAATTTTTATTTTTTGCTTCGACATGTGCTGTTACATTATTGTATATATATATATATATATATCATATATATCATTATGAAAAGCTAGCATATATTGCTTCGGAAGGATTTTATGTATATATTTGAGTTAGTAATTAGTTACGTATTAGTGCGTAGACAGTGTCTTCGGTATTGGTATTCGGGTGGGTGTCCTGCGTACAGTTATTTTTGTTGGTTTGTTTGTAGATGTATATGATGCGTTGTGTATAATATAAAGTT